AATAAAATAAAATAAAATAAACAAAATAATTTTTCAAATATTGATATAGGATTTCATGATGTGCTGGGCAATGAAAGACCTTCTGGTTATATGAGGGAACACAACAAGTTAAATGGCTGGTGTTCTGATGAAAATGAATGGGATGAAAAACTCTATCCAGTGTGGAAGAGAGGAGACATGAGGTGGAAAAACTCCTGGAAAGGTAAGTCAAAAGATTCAGCCCAAACAACCATAATTTCCTATTTTAGTAAGCTTTGTACATTGTAGAGCCTTTTAGTTCACACGGCTCACATTTCCATAAATGGTACCCGGACTTAGCAATCTTTCCTTTATCCCAACATTATCACTTTCTAAGCCACAATATAATGTTTAATCTCCTTAGAAATTTCCAAGTTGGTAACTCTTGGGATATTTTGGAGAGCAAGCAGGTTTGACCTCAGACCTATTTAACTGACATGGGAATTTTCATCTTCAGAAGGCCTGTGACCCTGACATAGTTTTTGACTGTCTCAAAGGTGTGGTTCATCATTAAGTGAATATCTTTCTGTTCAGGTAAAAGAATGTGTCCTTCAGCCAATGGTTTGGAGATTAAAAAATACAGACATTTAAAACTTGTCTCCTCAATCCAATTGAGCATTTTAAAAATTATCTGAAGTAAATGTTCTTTCTGTAGTCAAAGAATTCTTTAAGTGATCTGATTTATTTTTATGTCTTAAAAAATGTATTCTGGGCCAGCCCAGTGGTGCACTCGGTAGAGTGCGGCGCTTGGGAGCACGGCGGCGCTCCAGCCGAGGGTTCGGATCCCATATAGAGACCTGTCCGCTCACTGGTTGAGCGCAGTGCGGGCGCAACACCAAGGGTTGCGATCCCATTGCCGGTCGCGGTACGGGCGCTACACCGAGGGTTGCGATCCCGTTACTGGTCACGAAAAAAGACAAAAAAGAAAAAAAATGTATTCTGAAAGCTAAAGTTACGAATCTAGAAAATAAATGTGACGTATCATAAAGATGTATATGGATCCTCTGCTCCTTATTAATAGATTTAGCTTTACTTTAAATGATTACTTAAGATGAAAGGCAAAAGAGATGCCTGATCACTGAGCTCCACCTTTTTATGCCCTTAGGAGGCCACGTGCAGGCAGTGCTGACCAGTGACTCACCAGCACTGGTGGGCTCAAATATAACGTTTGTGGTGAACCTGGTATTCCCCCGATGCCAAAAGGAAGATGCCAATGGCAACATAGTCTATGAGAAGAACTGCAGAAATGGTAAGAACGCAGTAGTTCTCCTAAACTACTGGAGACCTGTCCCATAAATCTTAATAATCAGGGGCACTTCCATAAGCACAAGATGCTCCCTCACCACCCTCCTTCTTAAATTGAATGACAGGGAGGGTAAGTGAGGGGTCCTACCCAGCCCCTTCATCAACACCAACCTCAGCCAAGCCTACTTCAACACAGTGGTGGCTCCCCACTGTTTGGAGCTCTCTTCAAAAGCTACATGGTCACACCTGGCTTTTTCTTAGTCTCAGGTTTATTGGACAGAATACCTTGCTGTTTCTCAGATTTTTGTTTTGTTACTTGGAACTCTTTCAGCTACTCAAAAAAATAGCCAATTTGATAGATGTCTGCTGATAGGCTTAATTTCTGCCGACAAGTATTTCCTGAGCAAATGCTGCGTGGCTAGCACAAATGCTAACATGTGTACCCTTTGGTCTGGCTTTGCTCTTAAGGAGATAAGCTCTTTGTACTCGTGAAAGAACACAAAGCAGCACAAATATATCAAGGAAAATTATCTTGTTAGGGTTGTACATCCTCAGAAACGCTGAGCTGACTACTCAGATTCTTCAATCAGTAAGACGCCTTTTAATAATGTACTTATGATCTGATTTTTTTATTTAGAACTTTTATTAAACTGTTGATATGTTCATCATTCCATATTAATTTTTCATCCTCCTGTGAGGGAAAATAAATAAATTCTGTATGGAAAGGGTGTGATATATAACAAGCATTAAGCATTTAATATTTTGCAGCACTTTTTCTCTTTCTTCTCTTTTAAAAAATCTGGTTCTTATGAAGGTCTCAAATGACAATCTAGTCCTCTGAGCACTTTTATGTGAAAGAGTCCTTCTTATGAAAATATTTATAAAATATCCACCACCACTGAAAGAACTAGGGATCTTTGAAGAAATGACTGATTCCTGCTCTAGGGAAAGGAAAATATCAGGTGAGCCTGAGACACCTTATTGTTCCAGAAAACAAGAAAGAGCTCAAAGACTAATGGGGTGATGTCAACAGGACACAGGAGCCAGCTCAAAGTGGCTTCTATCAGCCATATTTGGGACAATTTAATAATAAAAATGAATGACTATTATAGACCAATACGCAAAAAGGTTTTCAAAAATGTCAGTGACATCAAAATTAAAAGAGGGTGAGGAGACTGTTCTAAATGAGAAGATATTGATC